CTTACAAGCTTACAAGCTGAGCTGAAGTTTTTACGTATGCTTGATCAAGAAACATTTCAACATTTATCATTTTGGTATTCTCCATAGGTAGTTGATCTTTTGAATTCCGCAAAAAGACGCTAGAATCGTATTCGACTTGTATATATCTTTATACGTACAAGTCTTGTAACTTGTTCAATTGTTATGCGATATGCAATCAGAGGTATTTTTGACAAATACTTTGCTGTTTTTTACTACCCGAGAAATAAGGTTTTCCCATCAAACTTTGAGATTTTAAAACGGTACTTCAACCTGCATATGCTCATCTTCAACAACATACAGTAAACTTGTAAGTTGTAAGTTTTACTAACTTGTTAAGGTGAACATGAATCAGAATGATACAAAGATTGTGATATTACATATTGCGCGCTTAATCTTGAGTAGCTTAGTACTATGAGATGACTCCTGACTCCTGACTCTGACTACGAACTATTCCTTCTGAGACATAGACGAACGTTCAATTCTTAAGTAACTAACAAATTAAGCTTATCAATTCTATGATTAGTACAGCCAATATTTTAGTGCGTAATTTCGAAAATCTGAGATTTCAATTGACAACAGTACATAATTACAACATACTAACAACCATAAAATTTGGCCTTCGAGCATCGTTCAGTAAATTATTAACAAGCTGGAGAAAGCAATTTGGCTATACCATTTCAAAAACTTTACCATTTTAAGAAATTAGTATACATATTGACACAACGTAATGATACTACTGTCTACACCATACTATGATAAAAAGGATCAATTTATGGAAGCTGGAATGATTTGAAAAGATCCATGTAGTCTGAATATAAATTTAAATTCTATCATAGCGGTGTTTCGGTGCTTTTGAATTCCTGCATTTGATAATTTTCCAAAACTCCTGATCAGATAGATTTGAAATAATGGATCATAATGCATTGTCATTTGACATGACATTTCGAATTTGCGCAAGAAGTGTAGACTCACTGTATACGTAGATAGTTGAAGCTTGTTACGTAGTTACTAGACGGATATTTGAGCTGTCTAAGTAAACTGTCAAGCTTCAAACGTAGTTAGCCTCTGTTCTGTCGTAAACATACACATTTTCTTTATTTTCATTCATGTCATAACTTATAAGGCTTTGAATTGAGTATGTAATATTGCAAATATCTACATCGACTGATTCACAACGCAAAATCCTCATTGCTGAGTAGTCAGCATATTACAGACTACCTTTTGATTAACGTCTGATTTTTTTTAAATAAATCTTCAAATAGTTATATGACGTCCATATGAGCTTACCATGAAGGTTTATAAATTGGGAATGTACACTAATATGATATATCATAATGCGCATAATTATTGATAGGACATTACTTCTTTCAATTACAATTGAATTCCAAAGAAATCTATTCATAGCTTCAAACACCAATCAATCATAATTCCATGGAATAGTAACTGTTTCAACATTTTTCGATGTAGAATTGAATGAGTTTGGAAGGTTGTACTGTGTTCTCGTGAGTATATGTAGGCTTGCTTATGTAATACATTTGTAATCAATATTAAAGATAATATTCAATTATTAGCTATAAAGTCTTTTTTGTGGAAAAGATAGTCGAAATTTCTATCTAATGTCTTCAAATTTATTTAATATACTACGGTCCATGCTTATTTATCAATTTCAGAGGGGAAAAAAAATTGTTATTTTTTTTTATTCAATTTTAGATCAAATTTAAACTTTTTAACATCAACATTCTCTGAAATTGAAAATTCTCTAAAATTCAATTTTTTTTATTGTGTCTAAAATTAGATTTAACTAGTAACTATGAAAATTAAACACTTAATAAATATAATAAGATCATAATTGAAGTGTATTTACTATAAAAGTTATAAATATATATATAATTAACTAATTTGACTAATCTAGCTATAATCGACCGGGTAATTATTTCATATTCGGTGGCGATAAATGCCGTTATAATAAATTTAATCCGATGTTTGACATATGAACGTACTAAAAAATTAAAATCCTAATATTCCGCCTTAATAAACAGCGAATGTTATACATGTAACATAAATTGCCTTCCCGCTTCAAAGATATGAGGTATTTGGGATGCTCATCATGAAACATCGCCTTTTTCCATATTCTGAATACTCCTGAATGCTGACAGCCGTCAATTCTCCGTAAAATTTAATGATGAGTATCAATCACGACTCACGACATTTGAACGTACCCTTGTCAAGATATAGGAATGATCTGACAAGTACGTGGTGAATTGAAGCAAAGCAGAACAAGCTGATACATTCTGTATAGCTCATAGCAACGAGCTTCAAAGTTAGACATATAATTAGATGAATTTTTTTTCAATCAGGACATAAATCTTTTTCAAAAGTAATACAACATCGTGATACAATACTAGTTACAATATTCAGTACAATTAAATTATATGTGAAGTTAACTGTGATCTATTTCATTCTAAAACCATACTTTCTAAAGTTAGAGTACGTGCGTAGGTTGTAACTTGTGACGTTGAGACTCGTAAGTTGTTATAACTTGTAACGCTAAACCAAGAGAAAAAAAATTATACTCAGATCTCAGATCAACATGGTTGTTTGTAAAATGTCCCGTAAAATAAACCTTAAACTCCGCAAATTTCCAAATACATATTCAAGATATACGTACCCGAGTATTCAAGGTACGGGATAATTTAAATAGCACAGGTAGTGTTAAATCGTACCGTGGTCACTGGTTAATGGTTCAAGCCTCAAGGATATTACATCTAGACATGATCTGATAATTATGTGGTACTACAGTCTCTTAAGAAATGTTAATCTGGCATGTTAACTTTAATTTATAGATTAAAAATAAGATTCTACGACGACGTACCTGTTTTAAAACTTCAGATTGAAAAGTTGGAGCAAGTGGGCAGTGGGAACTGGGGTTCAAAGCTTTTAAGTACTTTCAGATCGTCGGATGTTTCTTCTTAAATTCGAAACTTTCCTAAATCGTATGCTCTTTGTTCCCAACATAGCACTCGCATAATTCTTTGTGATAAGGCTGTATAAAGTTACTAAAAAGTTCAATGGTTATGCATGAGAAAACTTTTATTTCTTAAGGGATAAATTTAGGTAAAACTTCAGAAGTTATTGAAAGTTAATCGAAGAATTATGGAATTTTATGCCCTTTTAAATAGAAGTGAGGTTTGAGGTCAAAAAATTTCGATTATTTTTAAGTACTGCTTCTTCCTGCTTGCCCGTTGCATCTCAATGTTATTGATGAGATCTACAAGCAATTGGTCTCATATTTGGAACATGAGAGCTGAATTTCAAATGTTTAAATTCTATTTTTAAAAGCTACCCAATTAACTTTTGATGATTCTTCGTTGAAACACTTGTGAAGGGGTACGTAAAACTTTACAATATGATCCTTTAATGATCCTCTTGATTGACTACGTATTTTGTGTTTGAGTTTCAACAAGCTAGGTACAATATGAGAATAAGAACGGTATCGCATGATGTTATACCAGTTGAGATTTAATTCAAAGAACGATACGGAAAAAAAATAAAGTTTAAAGATGAACCCTTTTCAAGCTGATCATTTTAATTTAAATTAATATAATCTTTTATTAAATTATTTGACTCGTCTCTACAGTGTGGATTAAACTTTATATCCAGATTCCATATTCAAAGCAACATCTATACCAAAAAGTACAAGCACAGGTACTGAAAGATTCTATATCCAGACTTAAACATTCAACGATTCAGTGCGCAGCTGTATACAATCACCAAAACTATATTATATATCCAATGGTGTGGATTTAAAAGGAAAATAATTTGTAAAAAGGATCTAGATCTTGACAACATTTGTTTCTCTAGATGGTAATTTTCGATAAATTTCTACAAAGCCCCAGCTTTAAAATCAAGTTCTTTATGTATTTTTAAAAATCTGTCTCAGTACTTGACCGTCTTTCAAAGATTTGTCCAATAATATATTCATTTATAATGATTAGTAAATTATAAGCCCCATGCTTCAGGAATCAGGACCCCATAATCCAGGACATCAGGATCCAGGACCCCAGGTATAGTTGATGTCCGCCGTTATTCCATAATACGAAGTACCTTTTCAGCATTGGAATCCAAAAATTATCAATTCTTAGCTTATTGAAATGTTAAGCTACACATTGATGAACCATTTACGAACTGCGAAGAAGCTTTACAATTCATAATTTTAACTGATTGGAATGTATACTGTTAATCAACTGACTAATTGACACTAAATTTACCTCATTTTGACTCCATCAACCTCCATATAGTAACAATCTAACCGATATAGAACTCCACAGCCATTACTATGAGCAAGATCATATACGTATAAACTATAAATACATTGATAAAGATTAAAGTTTCATTAATAAAGTTGACCATACATAACATCTTTCGAAGTTGATCGAGAATTAAGACCTTTAAGAAATGAATGGAAAAGATATATTTCAAAACTTATTAGTACCGTAGATAATATAGAAGATCCTCGCCATAGCAAAAGTAAAACTCTAAAAGTAACTATAACTACAGCCTGGGGTCTCTGATTGATGATCAAAGAATCTTTAAGAAATATTAGCTTTCATAAACTTATACAATCAGGGAAAAAACCTAGTTTGAAATGATTTTCAATAGGATAATAGGAGATATTACAAGTGATTATATTATACTTTTGAATTATTTAAAATTCTTAAAACCTTAAAATTGGGTATCTTAGTGGGTATGTTACCTGATAAAGTTTCTTCATAAATGAGCTGGTATACAAAATCTATTGAATAGATGTATTGATAAAAGACCAAAATATTAATATTTATTATAAGGTAATATGAGAAATGAATGTGAATGTGAATTTTTTATGTTATTTCTTTAAAAAAAAAAAATTATTGACAATGTGATTTTTATAAAGTGCTATTAACAAAGCTTTAAATTTTTAATTTTGAGTTTGATGAAAAAATTCAAGTACGTTTAGTAGCTTTAGTTTCAGATTGTGAAACACCAGTTGAAGTTTCATCTTCAATGATTTCAACTTTTTCAGAAACAATTGGAGCAGCTTCTTTTGGAGCAGGATTAGCTTCTTTAGAAATAGTTGATGATGATGGAGCACTTGAACCACCAGTTATTGAAGAGATAATAACTGACCAAATACCCAAGACAAGACTTGAAACAAGAACGAAAACAAATGCATAAGCACCACCTTCAAAAGGTTTTGAACTTAATGTACTTATTGGACTTGCTAAGAAATCTGTTAAATAATCAAATCCATTAGCAACAAATTGATTTGCATATGCAACAATAGTTGTTAAGAAATCATCAGCATATTCATCATCATCAAATAAGTTTTGATTTGGTTTATCAGCTTCTTTTGCCTTTGGTGCTAATGCTAAAACTTCTTTTTGTTCAATTTCATATTTTGGATTAAAAGTTTCATTACCAATTAATTCAGCTTCATTTATAGAATGACCTAAATAAATATTATCAAATAAAATATTATTTTCAATTGACCATAATTCAAAACCTAACCCACCAATTGGTTCTAAATCTGAAGGAGATAAATCTTCATAATAATTTGGATTTGGAATTTTCTTTGGTTCCCATTCACCTTTATAATTTGGATTTTCAATAGTTGGTTGAACCCATTTACCTTTATATCCTGGATTAATAATTTGTTCTGGTTCCCATTTACCACAACCATGTTCTAAACATTCAGGATTCAAGATTGTTGGAGCAATCCATTCACCATCTTCTTCATCATCCCAATAATCTGGTTTTTCAGCTTCTGGATCTTCAATATATTCTTGTGCATTTTCATCCCATGATTCAGGTTTAACAGCATTTGGATCAGGAATGGTATATGGAGCAAATTCATCCCAATCTTCAGGTTTTGTTAATTGATTTGGATCTGGAATAACAGGTCTATCATCCCAATCTTCAGGTTTTGTATCATTTTCATCATAAACTTCCTTTGGTGGGTTTAAACCAGGTAATAAAGTATCATCATCAACCAAATTACCAGCTTTAACAGTTTCACCATTAATTCTAATTTCAAAATCTTGATCAGGTTTAATGATTAATGTATATAAAGTTGAAGTTTTAACAGCTCTCGCTAAAGGTGGTACAGCAAGATGTTTTTCTTCATATTCACCAGTGTGTTGATCTTTACGACGAATAATTAAATGGATTTTATTTGTAGTACCACATTTATCAGGACCAAACATGATTTGATATGGAGTATCATTATTAAATTCATTTGAATCATTTGGTAAACCTTCAGCAGATAATAATTTTAAATAAGCACCACCACATTTTAAACCTTCTTGTAATTTAACTTCATATTGTAATACCAAAGTATTATCTTTATTATCGAAAGTAGTTGGGAAATTAGCATGAATAGCATGATGAGCAGCAGGAGTTTTCAAAACTAAACCTTTATCACCTTTAAAACTTGGGAAAACAACAGGTTCTTCAACAGACCATCTACCATTATAAGTAAATTCTTCATCTCTTTTAGCCTTTGAAATTTTCCATAAGTTAGCCCAATCTTCAGAATCGAATTGTTCAAAAAATGAATCTGAAGATAATGATGATTTATCAAAAGGTTTGAAATCTGGATGATTAACATCTGGAGAAGCACCAGTTTGATCAGCATTAGCTTTTGATAAAAGGGCCAAAGCGGCTGGGATTGCAATTGTAGAGAACTTCATTTTGACTCAATGGGGAAACAATCAGACAGGGCGGTAATGAACTGGAATGAATTGAATTGAAAAGTAGTTTAGTTCTTCTTGATTTAAATATTTGAACACGTCGTTGATTTTTAGATCCTAATCTTGGAAATTTCCACGAAAATCCATCACATTTCTTTGATCGGAGCACGCAGAAAAGTCCACCTGATTTCGGATTTACTGGGCAGAGTTTTAGGCAGAGAATTTAGGCAGAAAAGAAAGATTCTAGACAGAGAAGTTCTTTACAGAGGTGTCATATTCATATATAAATATACCATTATTTTATATTCAACATTCAACTTCATCATTCAACAAGTCAAAAACGTTTCTTTGTGGTGCTTGTTGAGGTTCTTGTTTACCTTCGTTAAAGAAATCTTCTTCTTCCTCCATAGCATCTTCATCTTCATCTTGTGGAGTTTCAGCTTTAGTTTCTTTACCTTCTTGATCTAATCTAGCCTTTTCTGCAAGAGCTGCTTGATTAATAGCATCCCAATTTTGTTTTCTTGCAGTTTGAACATATTTAGATCTTTGTTTACTTTTTAAAATTTTATCTTGAAGAATATCACTTTGCATTATAGCTTTTTCCATTTTGGATTTATTTAAATTTGTTAATTGATCTTTAGCTTTTTGATTTAAATCTTTCGTTATTGATGAAGGTTTTTCCTTTTTCTTCATCTTATCATTAAGTAAATCTTCATTTTTCTTTGTAGTTGCTCTTATTATAGCTGAAGTTAAATCTGTCTTTTCAGCTCTTGGTAATGATGATAATGATTTAACTTCACCATCATCAATTTCATTTCTTCTAGCAGCTCTTGAATGTTTGGAGACTGGTGTGTTAGACATTCTGTTACCTAGTATAATAGATCAAGAAAACATACCCTTTTTAGCCATTTTAGTGTATATATTTGTAATTTTTGTGAGTTATTATTTTGATTAGTGTTAAATGTTTTATACCTATATATACTTTAAAATTTTTTTTTCTCCTAGCGATGAGCTATTATATAAGCATGGAATCAATATGGTAACAATATTAACAAAATAACACTTTTAATACGAATTAGAACCCATTTTCATCATGAATGAAAAAGTTTTTAAAGATAATTATATTTATAAGAATAAAAAGAATTTATTAATCAACTATTCATACTCTTATTCCCTCTTTATTCCAATATTTTAATTACCCTCGTCCAAATTAGGAAAATTTAGAGATCATGTAAGCCATCTTTTTAATTAGTCGCGAATTTTGTCGAGATCTTTATATTTAAGGAGGTTCCACAATTTGAACTTTGAGCTTCCATTGATTATACTCAATTTATAAGGTAAATAAGGTATTATAATGACAGAATTAAGACGTTCTGCTAGAGTTAGTGCTAGAAACAATGGTGAAACAAAGATTGAATCTTTAAAAGATTCTAAAGTTTCAAAACCAAAAGATAAAAAAGTTACTAAAAAGGATACCAAAGATACAAAAGACGAATCAAAAGAAGAAACTGAACCAAAAGAAAGCTCTAAAGAACTTGAAATTGGTGATGAAATCCCAGACATAACATTACTAAACCAAGATGAAGAATCAATCTCTTTAAAAGAAGCTGCATCTTCAAACAAAATCATCTTAATCTTTGCTTATCCAAAGGCAAGTACACCAGGTTGTACAAGACAAGCATGTGGATTCCGTGATAATTTTAATGAATTAAAAAATAAAGCTCTTGTATTAGGTCTTAGTGCTGATCAACCAAAATCTCAAAAAAAATTCCAAACAAAACAAAATTTACAATATGATTTATTAAGTGATCCTCAAAGAAAATTAATTGGTTTATTAGGTGCTAAAAAATCTCCAACTGGTATTAAAAGATCTCATTGGATTTTCCAAAATGGGAAATTAGTTGTTAAGAAAATTCAAATTAGTCCTGAATCAAGTGTTTCTGATGGTAAAAAACAAGTTTTAGAACTTGTTGAATAGTGTATTCTACATATAATAAACATAAAATTTTTTTCCCTATATCTTGTAAACACCTAAACTTCAAACTCCATTATATACCAATCATTGAATTTATTAATATCTTCTTTATCATTTAAAATAAGTTTCCCACCTAACCAATTCAAATTTTTGATTAAAATTTTTGATTCTTTTTCAAAATGTTTCCGTTTCATATAAATTAATAATTTAATTTCATTATCTTCTTCATTTATAATTTCATCATTCATTAAAATTTCTGATGTATATTCAAATATTGAAATTAATAAATTTTTTAAATTATATTCATGATTATTTTGGAAAGGTTGATTTATAATAATTTTAAAATTTAAATTTTGTGTTAATATACCATAAATTGGATATTTAAAAAAATTATTAAACATTGCAATATATTTTAAATTTCTTGTTTTAAAATTATTATTCAATTTGGTTAAAACTTTATTATCTCTTTTATTATTATCATTATTTCTATTCTTATCATTACATTCATTATAATCACCTTCAATTATAAATTGACTCTCACTCAATAAAATAATATCCAATGATACCTCAACCAAGTTATTATACTTTAAAGATTGAGGATTTTTCACATAAATCACATCAGGCCCACCACTGTAATGTTGGAGAAGAGGAAGTAGAATAATAATTATGAAGTTTCAACGTAGAAGGATTTTTTGGATCAACAATAATTGAAGATGAATTTATATTTTGTTCATGAGTTAATTGATTTAAATAAAAAACATTTGATAATTTCTTCTCTTTCGAATAAAGTAAATTCATTTTTGGATTTCTCTTTGATAAAATCTAAGTTGATAAGTTTGCAGTTATGCTATAAGTGAACTAAGCGCTCTATTTGTTGTTGAGTTTTTGGTAAAGTTTTGATTTGATTTGATTGATTTGAATCTATTATAAAAAAGGTGAAATCAGGAACCTTTTGTTAAAAATTCGTGATTTAAAATTGAATGACTTATGTTCTTGGCCGGTGCTGAAAATTACACAGAATAATCACATGACTTAAGCGTAAATTGTGGTACCAGGATTTATATGTCAAATTTACAGAAGAATATAAATACTTGGAAATTATCTCTTCTTGTCTTTGATAAAGAGCTTAGAACTAAAGAATATAACCATTTAGACCAATTTGTAACCAATTATACTTTCGAAGGGCCCAATATATCAAAAAATTAGAATTCAAAAACAGAAGAACTGGTAACGTACTCATGATCGAGAAAGTTATATCCATAGTTGATATACACTAGCTATTTAATCGAATTCGAGTATAGATATAGTTCAGCACAATATATATTGAAAGCTCGTTTAACTTGATTTTTAGCCAACTCGACCATTAAAAGGAGTTCATAATATCATTTATCTCATAATAGACTCTTGCTACTTTCATCTTAAGTACGTACCTAGTAACTACGTGGTTTACTCTTGTATAATTATGGACCATGGTGTATATTATATAATGGGTTTACCTTCGGGCTGCCTGCCCACTGCCTACAGGCTAAGTAGGTAGACCTGGCTCCTGCCTAGGGGAACCGAGCCCAATGGGCCCTGCTGCTCTGCCTGGATCTCGGAAAGACCATGCTCCGTTCAAACTTCAGGCTGACCAGTGAGTCGTGACTGACTGTCTGTCTGTCTGTCTACGCAAGAGAAAAAACAATTTTACGACGAAGGCTAAACAGGAATTTGAATCCCGATTTTGATTTTCAGTTTCAGTTCCTTGATTCCTAGGTGATGAGATTAGTAGAAACTTGAAAGTAAATCAACTTTAAAGTAAACTACGTAGACGTATAAACAATCTATTTAACCATAGTTAACGGATTAATGTATTTAAAGAAAAGTAATACAATATTTTCTTTTTCTTATCGGGAATTGTTCATGTCTTGAATAATTCAAGATCCAGCAAAGTTCAAGTCGCTTAACCCGTTGTACATAACAGCTTGATGAGCTTCACTAAAACATATAGTTGACGTGCTACACGTAATTTTTTAAATATAATAGTTGCGTCCGTTTCGTTAAATGAATTATGAATAACTTGGTATAAAGTGTAAGATCATTGACGTACAGTACGTTAGATTCAATTCTCGTACTAAAAGTAAAATCCTGCTTGATTCATATGAAAGGTCGTCATGAAATTCATATGAATTGAAACCTTTATATAGATTTCAGAACGTATGCACCGTGTATATTTATAGAATCTACGTGAGCTAAATTTATATGTCAAACTTGTAATACCATCTGAAATTTTAGTCACAAAATCTCTTTATTACTTTTAAGCTATAGATTCATTCAGCCGGTACACCTTTTGATCTGGATTGGATCATGGATGTGATGTTGTTTCATTCAACTCGCGATCTCTACCGAATCCAACGTCAGTGAATATCAACAATAACGTACAACATTAACTAAACGTATATTATTCACATCGAAGCTCAGAACATTCAATAGAAGAAATCTTTTATTGTCTTCATATAATCACAATTGGAGTTATGGACAATAGACGGCATAAAATAGAACGTATTTGACTGTATTCTTTGCTTCAGGAAAGAACGTATTTTAAGGTTTGAATTAGCCACGTACTACTTACCCAGAAGGTATTAAAATTATTTAAGAATCTTCTCTTCGTTTACTAGTACTTTAAGATTAATAGACAGGCCATGTAAGAAAGCCTTTAATTTTACCAGCTTTTCATATAAGCCTGTTTGTCGCTGCGCAGTTCTGGATTCAGTTGCAGAGAACCAAACCGAAGAAAACTAATGAGATGCGCCCACTAAATTTCTTTCTAAAAGCCCAGGGTAAGGGACCATCAGTACAAATTGATAACAAAGCGATGACCTCCTGATTATTAAAGTACACCACAAACCCCCTTAGATTAAGAGCTTTCAATTAATCAATTACGATGATTTCCCTTGAGCACCCCTGCTTCACTTTTCAGTGTAATTGAGTTTATATTCTTTATACAGAGTTGAATTTTCACTATGAAAGTTTTCTTGTTTGAGGCAACTGGGATGCTTAAAAATGCAAAAAGTTGCGTTCGGAGGCGCAGATCGACAATTTTTATTACTTTTAAAACTGTGAAATTCTGCATTCGAACTTTAATTTGAAGAGCTTTGAAGAGGAGGTTTTCCAAGTTTCAATCTTTTAAATAACAGTTTCATCAAGGGGTTAAAGGTTAAAGAGATGAGAAACGATGAGTTCTTGATTTCAATTGAGATTAGATTTAAATTGAAACTGCATTTCCTTTGATTCCAGTAATCTTGACCTCTTTCTATAGGTATTCAATTGAGTCCCTGCTGTATTTAATTTGTGGTTCGATACGTAGATTAAATGCTGGAGTTAAAGATTGGCGTTCTGGAAACGTTCCTGGATTTAATACCCTTTGATAAAAAAGTATATACCATTAAGCCTTAAACCGAAAGCTTCCCTTCAGCTCAATAAATTACTACACTACGAAGATGAGTGTAATGCGAATATAATGACTCCTTAAATAAGAGACAGCATATACACCATATAGTTTACAATCAATTCGTATTAACAGCTTTATATACCATACTACTTTTATCGGTAAACCATAACTAGGTGATTTGATAAACAGGATCTACGTAGATAGTTGTCCATGTGATAACTACTCCCAAAGTATATATGACTGATTTGCAATTCTGGACCTTTTAGGATAATTTTATTACTTGCACTTGATCAATACAACAATTGTGGTTTATACTTAAGCTTTAATAATGAACTATACTAAACAAAGTATAACAATAGTATCTACACTTATAGATAACCACCATCAAGCTTCGTCACTATGCCTTGACAGAGCCCTAACCAGAGCCCTCTCTAGAACCCTGCCCAGCTAACCAGCTCAGCTTAAATTTTTCTAGTTCTATTCCCACTGCATGTACACTTTAAAATATGAAATTTTCGACCTGCAGCTTCAAGCTCAGCGAGCATTAAAACAGCATAAACTTCTCAAATGTTCATACAAAATATATAAGGGAAATAAGTGGAAATAGGCACAAAGCAGCTTAATTGCAAGAAAAAGAAATTAATCATGTACAATATTTCCAGATTCAGAGCCGACAGGTGTTGATGAAGTCTTTGAAGAGCTGTGAATTGATTACTACTTCACATATTTTGTATTATTCTATGGATGAAAAAGGAAAAAGAAATAGTAACCGTTCATAATTGGAGTTGAGCCTGTGTGTTTAATTTACCGTAACTGAGTTACCTTTGTAAGCCATCTGGCATTAAAATGTCAAGAAGTCTATTTTTACTTTTTTGATTCCATACTTAGCTGAGTGTACATGAAATTCAACAGCTGAATTATTGCAAAAGGAAAATTTTGTATATACCTTAAAAAAATATATAAGTACACTTCAATCTCTTCAAAATTTTTGACATGTCATTAAATTAATATTTTCTTATAGTATAGACAATTAACTTCAATTGATTATAATATATTATTACAATGGTTGCTTCTGAAGTTCAAAATAACGTCAATGACGTTGAAGCTCAATCTGATGCTGAATACATCCCACCATATCAATCAAGATCAAAAGTTTTAGGTTTAAATGATACTTTAAGAAACCATGTTGTTGCCGTTATTGGTGAATTTGTTGGTACCTTTTTATTCTTATGGTCAGCTTTTATGATTGCACAAATTGCTAATCAAAACCAAGATGTTGTTAACAAAGTTGAAGGTTCCCATCCATCTCAATTAATTATGATTTCATTTGGTTTTGGTGTTTCTGTTGCTGTTGGTGTCTTTATCTTTTTCAGAATTTCTGGTGGTAATTTAAATCCAGCTGTTACTTTAACTTTAGTTTTAGCTAGAGCTATTCCACCAGTTAGAGGTGCTTTAATGATGCTTGCTCAAATGGTTGCTGGTATGGCTGCTGCTGGTGCCGCTTCTGCTATGACTCCTGGTGAAATTGCCTTTGCTAATGCTTTAGGTGGTGGTTGTTCAAGATCAAGAGGTGTTTTCATTGAAGCTTTTGGTACTGCTATCTTGTGTATTACTGTTTTATTCTTAGCTGTTGAAAAACATAGAGCTACTTACATGGCCCCATTAGTTATTGGTTTAGCTTTATTCATTGGTCATTTAATCTGTGTTTACTACACTGGTGCTGGTTTAAACCCAGCTAGATCATTTGGTCCAGCCGTTGCTGCTCGTTCATTCCCAACTTACCACTGGATCTACTGGGTTGGTCCATTCTTAGGTTCATTGATCTCATTTGGTGTCTGGCAATTATTGAAAATTTTAAACTATGAAACTGCTAACCCAGGTCAAGATTCTGACCATTAGTTTGTTTTTGAAGTTTAAAAAATCATTTAATTCTACTACAATCACTTCAAATTTCTTACCATATTCATGCCTAATTAATACAATCTCCACATAATTGCACATATTTATAATAATAATAATTAATTACTAGTTAATTTCCAAAAAAGATTACAATATAAAGAGTTTTTACGTATAATTAATGACTTTGTAGAGTTTATTTCTCGTCTAATTGAATCATTTGTCATCTAATTGAATCACTTCAGATATCCATACCTTAAGTTTTTTGGGCTTGATTTTCCTTGGTGTGCTGATAATTAGCGCTGATATCGTACGTGCGTGAGAAAACTGAGAAACTTCAACAAAAACATAAACAACTCAACTTTAAGAGCTTTGTCCTTCGACTTCACCAAAAAGCTCTCATACCTCATATATATAAGAATGTTTCTCTCACATTATCATCATGTTTCCTTTCTTATTCAAAATGGCTACAGAAAGTTAGTATAATCAATCATTATCAAAATGTTTAACGGACCAGTTATCGAAACATTCAAAAAGGCATTAGCTGAGCATTTATTTGAATTTAAAAGAACATTTGAAAAAGATGAAGTCAAAGAATATCAATATTCAAAACTTCCTTGTTATATTACAAATGGGTTATCATACAGTAATAAAAAGCATTTCACAGTACTTTGTACAAGAGATTTGAGTTATGATGAGATTGCTTTCGAACTTGGTGAAGAACCTTACCATTGGGCGGCTGTTGAAGCGGTAAGAGCTTCACCATCAGGATACAATGGTGATGAAATCCATATCTTTGTACAAAATAGACTTCATTATGAACAATTAAGAAATTTGGTTGTTGAATCAGAAAGAAATTTAAAAGATCTTAATGATGATTCAGTTTGTGGTCAATGTGAAGGTGCTGAACAAGATTTATTGAAAACCAATATTGAAAAACTTCTATCAAATGCTTTTATTTTTGGGAAACCAACTAATTTAGATCTTAATCAAGCAAATATGTGGAATAATACATCTAAATGGAGTTCAAATACTTCTACACTTGGTTGTTCATTAATCAAATTACCAAAAAATCAAAGTTATCCAGATGGTTATATTTTAGTATTAAAAAATATCAATTATGATATGGAAGAAGTAAGGCAAGCTTTAAAACTATACCAAAGAGACGAAAAAGATAGAATCGCAAGAGGCACTGAAATCAATAGACCAAATCTTAATTATTATTCTTCAGATATAGCTTATTTAAAATATCTTGATGTTAATCAAAAACATATGGTTTCAACTATCTCAAATGATGTTAAATCTCTAGAACAACCTGATACGCATTATATTGTCAACGATAGAGAATCATCAGTTGTTAGAACTTCCATATTGGCATTTAAAGATAGATTGAGACATCTTCAAGCTTCAAATCCACAACATCAACATAGATCATGGTTTACAGGTGCTTATCATATTGATGGTAGATTCAATGGATCAAACTATGAAGCCTTTTCAACTAAAAAAATCACTAAACGTGAATTGAAGTCATTAGTTAGAGAAAATCATCAAAATTGGGGCTATGAAATTAATTGTATTGTTCCTACTTTTAAGAAGATTTTACATCAGAAACTTGAATCATATGGGAGTCATCGTTGGCCTGTTACTATTATTTCAGAACCTAATATCAAGATAGATACCATAAAGAATTCACTTAATAATATCAAAGGTATTAAAGATTATGGATATTGTGAAAAATGTTTAAATAAAATTGAAGGTGAAGATTCAAAAATTCCAAAACTTGTACAAACTCATTTTGCTATTGGTTGTCATCATGCTAATGAAAATTTTATATATTTAAACCATGCACATGAAGGTGCTAGTGGATATTCAGAAATTGATGGTTATTTATGGAATAGAAAAGATTATCTTTCTAAATTACAAAATGAAGATGAATTTGAAACTCAAAGTGAATTTGTTGAATCTAAAAAACTTTTAACCGTATTGGAAATTCCAAATTCATCAACATCTGAATCAAATTCTGATGATGAAACTGATAAAGATTTAATTCTTATTATTAGGGATGTATCATTGAGTGAAACAAATGTCTTACAAGGACTTTTAGAACAATCATCATCATCATGGAATCGTTCTGAATGCTTTTTAGTTCCAAATAATGTGATTTCTGATAATAGATTAGATAGATCATCGCAACTACTTAGTGGTAATTCTAATGCAAAATCCCAACCTCAGACTCATAATTTAAAGCTTCAAATAACTTGATTTTTAAGCTATATTTATTTACTTAAAATGCTTCCAAGGTGAAACGTTGAGCTAGAATTATGTATAGATGGTATTAATAAATTTTAGAATCGAACTATTTAGATCGTAGTGTATTGGATATCTCGAATTAAACGATATGTCTAGCTAGCTTGATATTAGTATTACACACCATTAACGAGAAGCTAATTTTTTTTGTATGGGGCGTGCCCCTAAAATTGAAAAAAGTCGTGGCCGTAAAAAATGTAGATTTTTTTGAGGGAGAAAAATGCATTTTTTGCTGAGGCTAGCTGGGAAGACTAAAAAGCGATAAT